AATCCTAATGTAATGTTTTGTTTTCAAAAGTTTACTTTTCATATTTATTAATAATGAATAATTTATCATAAAAAATGTATATTAAGCGTTATATTTCAACAAATGCAGCAATAAATTAGAATCTGCTTTGCGAATTGACCTTTTCAAATTGATTTATCATATTTGAAAAATATCTGAACTTGCAAGTGAAGGAATTGTATTATTTCTCATACAGTTCAACTAAAGTAATAAAAATCGTAATGAAAATCGCACTTTTGATATGTCTTTTACTTTTTGTAAAACTTTTTAAAACTTAAAAGTTATTACATATTGATCAAATTGATTAAAAAATCAAATCGCACTGCAAATGAAGCTAGATTTTCTTTATTCCATTAAAAACAATAAATATTTCTGAATTTATACAGTATAATACTGATCATAATTTTATGCAGTAAAAACGTATCAGAAATAATATTCTTTAATTTTTAATACGATGAAGACTTTTACAGTTTTCTCACAGATGCAAATTTTTTAATCTCCAAATATGAATTAGCTTCACCGGGATGTGGACACGAATTTGATCGATCATTACGGATCTGAAATTAATTTTTACTAATTATTCCGATATAGCGTTTAAAAAATTCCATTCGAATGTCGGGAAAAGTGAAAAATTGATCAAAATTTCCAAATTATAAAATTAAAAATTATTAAAATTTAAACTTTCGACTGATAAATTAACATTCATTTGCAATATTATCATTATTTTATGATATCCGAAAAAATTTGTGAAGATTACAATTTGAATAATTTGTTACTGAAATTGTATACTTATGACCTTCAAAATGTAGGCTCATTGATTCTATGACTGAAATTATGTTATGATTGAATATTGAGAATTCATTTTTGGACTTATGACAAATGCAATTATCATAAAAATTGTAATCATTAATGCTACTGATATTGACAATGTAACACTTTTGTCCTAAATTTGAAGGGAATATTTTATTGTAAAAAAGTATAGTACTAAAATTATTAACAAAATTGTGCCAAAAATAAACACATAAAAAATAAGAAGAAAATTTTGAAAATATGTAAAATACAAAAATTTGCTGCATCATTTATTTTTGATCATTTTCGTAAAAATTTATTGAACATTTGAAATGTTTTATTTATTAATTGCAAAATTATATACTGTCTGTTTATTTTTCTTTAATCAAATCTTATTATGCATAATTTTCTACTATATAAGTTTCACTGATAATTAAAAAAATTTTTCGAAAAACAAAATTTTCAAAAATTTTATACTTTTTAAAAAATTTTTCATTTAAAAAAAAAAACAAAAAATTTTTTTAATTTTATAAACATTTGGCTACTTTTGTGCTATTTAATTGTCTTAAAATTTTAATGTATAACAGTAACTTTTAAGCAGTATAAATAATTATAAAATATGTTATAGGTAATTTAACAAACAGAGTCTGAAAAATCAATAATGAGCGTTATTATTGACTTTTTGCAATCATACACTGTGTTCAATTTTGTTGAATTTGTTAAATTTACTTACTAGAGTTTGTAAATAATGAAAATTAATAAATAATATGTAAAATGATTTCAAGGTATCATATTTCATGGAATTTTATCTATAACACAATTTTTATCTCTGATTACTTTTTATCCATTATGGATTACAAAAATCAATATTTGATTTTGAGAGATATCTCGGAGTTATCATTTTACAACCATAGAAAGGTCACATCTTGTAAAAGGTCATATTTTATAAGCAAAAAATCAGATTATTTTTGCTTTCATATTTTGCATAATTTAATGAAAACAGATAAAACACATACATATTTCAGATATGCATCTTTCATTTCATAAATAACAAAACTCAACAATCGGCTCCAACTTTCGTATACTTTTCTCTGAAACGATTAATTTTCAAAATCTTTAAGTATAATATTATGTACTACTTAAGTAATAGGAATTGAAAATAGTAATAATTTTATTATTAGCTATTCTAAGTTATTTACTTCATAATTAATGAATTCTAGAATATTGATAACCCCAGAAATTTTAAATCCTTAAATAATTTCTTCTTTAATATATGCATGTAGCAAAGATTACGATAAAAGGATTAAACTTTGCATTAATTAAATATGCAAAAGTTTCGATTGATTTAAATTATGCATTAATTTACTGAAAGTAATAAGAGAAATGAACTTGTAAATTTAACATTGGTATTAAATCTTTGGCAAATATATAAAATATTAATTGAATTAATAAGTTTTTTGATCAATCTCAAATTTTCTTAATCAAATTAAATGATTGATATTTTTATGAATAATTTTTTATTATTACAATTATGTTTTCATTACTTTGTTTAATGATAGTAGTCATAATAGTCGTTTATATTAATAAAAAATTAAAAATTTAACGATCAATTAAATTTCTTGCATTGTTCCAAAATTACGAATATTTAAAAAGTATACCTGTGAATTAGCATCGCATAAAACAGAAATTAGTGAATTTTTAAATAGTAACCATTTATCAGCTGTAAAACTCATAGATTTTATATGGCAGTGCTGTCTTCCCACTAACCTAAATCACACAAAATTTAAGATAAATATAAAATATTACGTGAACTTTTTGATAAAAATTAAAATAAGATAAAAATTATTAGCTTAAAAAATTTTTCGAACGTAAAATTTACATTTAAATGAAATAAATCAAATTTTTGTAACTAATATTATGGAATCTATGAAGTAAATACCTTATTATTTGTACAAGTTCATCAGTTCGATCAGCTTGTGGAAGAATATCAACAATAGTAGCCATAAATCTTTGAAATTTAAATACATGCATTCGAAATTTTTTATTTACTTTCATATCTTCTTCAGGAACATTTTCTAATCCAAATGTGACTGCCATTTCTCGATTTTCATGCTAAAAAAAATTAAATCATTTTGCCTGAATAAAATTGAGTCTTTTGTATGACAACTGTGACCTGAAAACACTCAAATATTTTATGCAAGTTAAATTAAAATATTAGTTAAATTAGTCTGTTTTGGGTTTATTAGAATAATTTCAATTCATCTTATTTTCAAAAAAAAAAAAATGAACCAAATCAACGATTTGTTTGGTCCAGATATTATAATTTAAAAAATATTCAGTTAACGTTTTCTAAAATGTAATCTAAATATTTTTATTACAATTTTTACCGGACTTGATGTCCTTTAAACTAAGTATTTAATAAAATTTAAATAATGTTGTACTCATTCAAACAATAAATTTAGTAACTTGATTCATTGCTTCCAAACTACAATTATTAAAAAGATGAAGTGAAGAAAAAATTATGTTTTTAAAATATTTGAGTAAAATTTGAATTCTTAAGTTTTACACTTAGCTAATACAAACATTTGAAGAATTTAATAGAGCAGTATGGGTGAAAAATTATTTAGAATATTAATTTTATTTTATTTAAATAAAATTCATACTTATTCAAAGCTTTTTTCTAAAAAAAGTTAAAACGTATTTGTTCAAAAATTTTTGCATTTATTTTACAAAATTATTATTCATAATATTCAAAATATTTTTATAATTCTTAAATACAAAAAAAGCATAGATTATATTGTCATAATTTTTTATTTTGAGCAAAAATTTTAGGCTAAATTACTTAATTAATTTATTTTGTACCTCAGATTTTTGAACAAATATGCAAATTTTTAAAAATTTTGTCTTTGGCAATATTTTAAAGTCTTTTCAAAACTTAATAACTTGAATTTGATTTTGTAAAAGTAAACTTCAATCCAATTTGTTGATAAACGTATAAAACAATTAAATATATATATTCAAGTCTTTTTTAACTTAGAATTCACAAACAAAAATATAAAAAAGAAAGGCAAAGGTTCATGAGACACAGAAATGAAGCAATTTATAGGAAATGCAATAAAGTTTAATACTTTATGCAGAAAAGTTTCCAAAAAAAGTTTTTCAATAGTTTTTATAACAGATTTATGATTACCAAAATGGTATTAAACTAAAACTTTAAGTTGATCTTAAGACCAATTTTCAAATTTTTCCGAAAAAAACTTTTGAAAAATATCTAATATAAATTTTTAAACATTTTTAATGCATAGAAATTTTTTTAAATCAGGAATTGCTAATTGACTTAAAAAAATTTATTCCAGTTTATTTTAATTACAATAATTTTTTATAAATATTAAAATTTCAAAGTAAATTATTAGTTACAATTCCACTAATATTTTGAAGTTTATTAATTTAATTACATTTAAATTTTAATATATAAATTAAACTTACTCAAAATCAAAAAAATAAATTTAAAAAAAATACTTGGTAAAAGTTCATATTCTTAAAATCTTACCAAAAATAGACGCAAAAATAACGTTTCAAATATTGCATACTTATCAGTAATTGCCTCCCAGGCTTCAGAAATCATTTGAACTTCGCTGGGATCTAGAAATAATGCCCGACCTGAAATACATTATTATCATTTTTAAGGTCAAACAAAACAAAAATACAAAATCATTATTATTCCCATTATTAATATCATTATTCTTGTTAAAATAAAAAATTATGTAAACAAATATATGCATATATTTGAAGTATAATTTTCTTTGCTTACTTTACAAAATAATGAAGAGGAAATTTATTAAAATTAAGAGATCTATCAAATTTGCAAATATTTCATGACCTAATAACGAGGAAATATTTTGGCTAATTTTTAAAAAAATAATTAATCAAACAGAAAAAACTTATGACAATAAAATGTGAATAAACAATTGTAGTCAAAATATTTCTTTTCATTTAAAAATGAAAAAATATTTTGGCTACAATTTTTATAGTAAAGAAGCTTTTATCAATAGCACATTGTAATCCTTTGTAGAAATTTTTCTGATAAAAATTATCATAAAAAAATTATTATAAAAAAGCTTTTTATTAAATTAATAAAAATTATTTAAAAAATATAAAAATTTAATAATTCTTAATTTTTTAATTTTTTCACTTTTTCTAAAAATAAAAAACTGTGGAAAAAAATACTTTGAAAAGGAATTAATAAGTTAGAGTGGATTTTCCTGGTTTTGACTTGATCCTTAACAATTTGTTGATGATATTTGGAAAGTAGAGGGAAATTTAAATTAGGCATAGACGTAAATAATAGTAAATTTTTGCAGAAAGATATATAGCCGAGTAATTTTTAAAGTTCTTAATTCCCTTCAATAGCCAAATCAGTATTTTCATTTTAAGCTCTCATTTTCAGCATATTTTGTATCTCTGTAATTTTTTGAGCAGAACTACTCACAATTACAAAATTTGAAGACAATCATCCACTGATTTCTCGATCTTTTAAGATTTGTTTGAAATTTTAATAACAAAACTTATTTTTTAACTTTATTTTTTTTCTAAATTTTCTAAAAAAATACAATTTTGATAAAAAATAATGATGAAAATTTGTTTAATTGAATCAAATTTTTTAAATTTATCTCTCTTATACTTGCAGCGTATTGTCAAGACAAATTCACGCTAAATAACAGTTTAAGAAAACTTGTCGATTAATTACGTGAACCAAAATAAATTTGAATTACTTTGAAGGATTTTTCATGAAGAAATTTTATGACTCAATTCTTAGTACTAACAATAACAGCTAAGAATAGAAAAAATAGATTCATCTGAAGTAAAAGATCCAATAATTGTAGAAAAATTATACCAGAATACGAAGAAGCGATGATTCGTTGATGTGAATAAACATTGTGACGATTTGAATATTTCATTCGAGCATATTGAACGAAACGTGAGTTTTGCATTTCGTTTTCTACGTATAATACCAAATAATAATAATAGATAAATGATATTAATATTGCTATTATTTGTATTATAAAACCTATTCTAGCCATTAATACAAAACTATTTTGTTTAGTGACATCAAATGACAAATAGGTCACTGATATTGAGAAAACGATTAAGTTATTTATTCTTGTTGATTTTAGATGCTAAAATAAGTTATCAGAAAAAATAATGAATAAGTATTCTAATCAATTTAATCAAAAATTTCTAATTTAAAGGTATCAGAAATGAAAGTAATTAAAAACGTGGGTGTATATTCAATTCCTGCTTAATTATTCATAACCTAATATACTTAATTTTAGTCACTAATTCAATTACAGTATAATTTTTTACTAGCTACAGGTAGTAAATATTTATAATTCAAATAAAATACGTTTGAAATAAGCAACAAAAATCAAAGGTTCTGTGAATAAGATTAAACTTTTTTATCAGATAAAATCAAAGTTATCAGTCCGTATAGTTAGTATAAAATAAATGTATGAAACATGATTGAGCTGTAAAAAATATCGAAATGCTATTTGGTTTATCTTAAAAATAAAATTATACGTATTAATTTTATTAAAAAGAAAGCAACTAAATTAATTCTTCTTTTTTTATTTTATTTTTTTTAAAACAAATTTACATCAACAAAAAAAGAAATGAATTGCATCAAAAATAAAATAATAAGTAAGAAAAATCAATAATGAGGATAATTCTCTTAGGAGTTAGTATTTTGCATTTTTTCCTTTGTTTGGAAGGAAAAATTTTTAAGAACAAAACTTGCCAAAATGCATTTTACAATTTTTTTTCTTGCTTAAATTCAAAGTGCTGATGTCTTTTCAGAAACTATATTATTTTTGTTTTTTACTCTAACTTCAAAATGTTTTTTATTAGAATATTAATTAATAAAATAAAAAAGACTATTATAATTTTGTCATATTGATAATTGTATTCGATCTGTTAATTATTATATCGGATTTTAATCACAAAGCTATTTAAATACATTTTTATTATTTGTTTTGTAAATTATAATTTTGCTTTATATTGATAATGCAAAAAAAGTTTTCATGTATTTTTTAATGACGAACATTACTTGCAATACTGTTATTACCATCAAAAATACTGTTATTACCATCAAAAAATTAACCACAAAGATAATTACAGATTATGAAGTTTGTGATCAAATCACTGCTATTGCTAATCTTTATGATTTATAAGATTTTATAACAAAGGATAAGAAAAATATGAGTGCAATTACTAATGTATAATCAAGCTAACGTAAAGACCAAATCCTAATTAGTTGTTTAATCCGTCTAAAGCTTTTAAAATAATTAATCAGCTAAATAATTTTTTGAAATTCTAAAATAAAGACTTCACAACTCATGTAAATATAATAAAAAGCTATTTGGAATAAAAATTAAAAAAAAAATTGTTGAAAATATAAAATGAATGAGGTCAAACAGTAACAGCAAAAAAGTAAAATAAAGATTTATTATGTTTAATTTGTTTTTTTGTAACTTACCAAATTTATGAAAAAAAAATATAACAAATGAGATGACCAAAAAATCGTTTCCTTTTTTCGCTTCCTCCTCCCTCCGTAAAATTGCTAAATTTGTGCAAATAAACACAAAATTTATGATAATGTGCAACTGAAAGTAATTTATGCAAATTTTCTTATTTTAGAATGATGTAAAAATGATTAATGGATTGCAAATAATCCATTGATCTCTATATATAGACATGTTTTGATCAGCATTATTACTACTATTTGGCAATTAATGCAACAAAATATTCTCAAAAAAGATAAAATTATAAATTTTTTTTGAAAAAATAAAAAATACTCAAAAATTTGCTGCAACTTTTTAAACATTCTTGGGTTAATATTGAAATTTAATGAATACTAATTGCTATTTAGAATAAAATCTGATCATTTTAAATAATTTTTACATATTTTTGTCAATAAATAATAGTTTTACTGAATTCAAAAAATTTTAGGATACTTTTTATATTTTTTATCCTTTATCACCATTGTTTTACTCATATGAATTTTTAAATTTGTTAATTTTTAGATGAATCAATTTATTTTTCACAAAATATACCTGAATACTAAAGTGAAAATTTATAAATATACGTTTTTTGAAAAATATTTTTTCAGAAAAATATTTTTTTCACAAATAGAATTAAATATTAGTAGTAAAAATAGTAAATTTAGTAATGCAAAAAAAGACTTGACTGTTTTTCAACTATTAAATTTTATTACAAATCTAAAAAAAGTGTTTTCGAAGAGTTAAAATAGAAAAATAAATGCTAAGTCAGATAAGTGCTAAAATGGAACGATGCATTTTAAATCAAATTTTTCAGAGTGTTAGAAAAAATTTTGCTGCAAAATTAATTGAAGCCAATGTGTAGCAGAGTTAGATATCAAATAGCAATTACTAATTTTTGACGTGAATATTTATTTATTTATTTATTTATTTAATTTATTTACTTATTTATATATTTAGTTAGTTTGTTAGTTATTTGCTTATTCATTGTTTTGTTCTGCTTTGCTTAAATGTATGCATTTAAACGAGTAAATGTTTGGATGTTAAAGGTTAAATGATGCTTGAAAAAATTAATATTGTATTTAATAATGGATAGTATAGTAATAACAGTGCTTTAAATGACTACCACTGTCATCTATTCCCTGTCTTAATTTATTTAACATATTTTTATATTTCAAGTTAATAAGTATTAGAAGTTAAAATTTGTTTACTTATATA